GTCTTCCTCATTAGTCCTTACCCCAGAGCTCAGTCCTGGGGAGAACATGTTAGGCCTCATGGGCACTGTAGTGAACACATCCCTGGGGTGAGTTCTAGGTCAGCCCTGGGCTGGGATCTAGCGCACGTGTGGAAATGTTCCCTTCTCAATCTGTCCAGCCTGTTGAGCCCTACACCAATCCTGGAGCCTGCCCCAGCTTCTGAGTCAGGGTCCCTGGAGATGAGGTTGAGCTCCTGAGGACAGTGAGGTGCCCCTGCCCCTCGGCTCCTGCTGCTCTGATCCGGTCTAGACAGGGTGTGCAGGGCCACGCTCTTCCCCTGTGTCCATGCGTGCCACCTGCTGGAATCCTTCTGGACCTAGATGTTGTCCTCATTGTTGTCATATCCCCAGCCCCACACAGTGACTGGCCCTTGTGTAGATGCCCAGAAAGTAACCATAAATGTATGGTAGGAGCAGAGCTGCAAACTGTTTCGCTAGAAAACACTAGGGGAGGGGAGTCATGTCTTCCTCATGTCTGGATCTCCTGTGCCGTCTAATGTTCTCAGTCATACATGTGCCTCCTCATAAATACATTTAAATATTTACAATTAAAAGTTCAGGGCCAGACGTGGTGGCTCACACCTGTAATTTCAGCACTTTGGGAGGCCAGGGAGGGTGGATCACCTGAGGTTAGGAGTTCGAGACCAGCCTGGCCAACATGGTGAAACCCCGTTTCTACTAAAAATGCAAAAATTAGCCAGGTGTGGTGGCGCACGCTTGTAATCCCAGCTACTCAGGAGACTGAGGCAGGAGAATTGCCTGAATCCAGGAGGCAGAGGTTGCAGTGAACCAAGATCATGCCATTTTACTCCGGCCTGGGCAGCAAAAGTGAAACTCCATCTTGGGGAAAAAAAAAAAAAAAATCAGAACCTCATCACAACAGCCACCGTGCAATGGCCCAGCAACTTTCTGTTCATGCAGCGGAGAGATTTCCTTCCCCGCAGAATGCTCTTTCACATCTGCTGTGAGCCTGGCTGAGGGGCCGATTGTTGGACTCCCCTAACTCAAAGCGTGAACATCAAAGTGGGAATCTCAGGGCTGTGAGATTGGAGGTGAGACCTATAATGGGCCAGTGGAAGAAAAAAGCTGAAACGTGGTTCCTTCAGTTCCTGTTTCTCACTTGAAGGCTGGCAAGTGTGAGCGATGCCTTTCTAGAGACCTCTGACTCCCCAGAGCCCAGGGAGAGTCTGACAACACCGAGGGAAGGGCAGAGTGATCTCGTGTAACCCGGTGTGGCCTCACCTGGAGTAGGAGGGTGGGCGAGTTGCTCTCTGGAATAAGTTCTTGTGGAGTTTTTGTCTCTAAAGATTGGCCAATGGACACCGTCCATGAGGGCAGCACAGTGAGGCAGATCTGCAGGTAGAGAATGATACTCTAGGAGGATCTCTGGGAGCAGTTGGGTGACACCTGTTATTTTGGAACCTAGGAAAAGGATGAGGAAGTCAGAATCAAAGGAAATATGTGTAGAAGTCTGATTTGTTCCTTTTATATTTTAATAAGATAGAGGTGAGACGATTTGTGTCCATGGGCTTTGTGTGCTGTGTTTGTAACCTTTTTTTTTTTTTCTTGCTCTGGTGTTTAATGGTTACTTTCCAGAAGACCAGTTTGTCTTGTCTATGTCACAGCAAACATCGAAGCCTTGAGTTTTGATTGGTTAATATTTTCTGGGACTTGGGAATGCAAGAGTCTTATTAGGTCCAGGCACTGACTAAGATGCGAGGTATCTGCTGAGACTCCCTCATGCTCACTACTTGAACATAGTTGTTTCTCTGAGATGGTCTCAGAATCTTCAGTCCCACGCTCCATATGCCGCATCCAGCAAAGCTCCCTGAGGGACTCACAGTCTCCAACCACCAGGGCACTGACATTAACTCTGTGTCCTTTTAGGTTCCCCTGAGGACAGCCTGAGTTTAAAATCTCTACCACCAAGTGAGGAAGACAATGATGATGCCCAGGTAAGACCTTCTTTCCTTGTCTTCTAAGGAAATGTTGCTTTCCTGATGTGAGAAACAAACTCACCCATTCACACCCAAAGAATGAACTCAGAGGCCTGCAGAACAGAGAAAGTGAGAATTTTAATGATGGCCTTCCAAGATCGGGTGTCTGATGGGCAGACACATCCAGAACAATTTCAACAAGCAATTTATCCCCTAGTGTGCAGGACTGTCTCCTTGTTCCTCATAGGCTGAGTACTATGGGGTCATAATCTTCCCAGATGTCGCATATTGATTATTGGTTAGGAGCTTTAGGTATTTTTTATTTAGGGTTGTCTTACTGCATTTTGTTGCAGCCCACAATGTATTGCCATCCTAGTCAGCTCAGGGGCTCTTCAAGTGTTTGACTTATGACCTAAGTAGCTGGGCAGGCTGATAAGAACAGACAAAGCGAGCTATTTTGCAGGCTAGTAAAATTTCAACTTTGACTAAACTTTGTTCAAGTGATGGGAACTAAGTGGGGAGGAGGGGGGCCCAACAAGCAGGCCTTGCCTATCCAAGCCAGAGCCTGGCGTATCCTATTTCTTCTGTGCTTTGCTGACCTAAACAGGTTCAAGGCACTTTGTTTTAAATATGGACCACTGTATACTTTATTTCCTTCACCTGATTTCTTTCATTCTCAATTAACTTTGATATAAGAATATGATGAGGAACATAAAGTACAACATACACAATAGTCCTTGTTGGGATGGAGTTCAGTGGGAGTGTCTTCTCATGTAATACATGACATGCTAGGGTGTTTTTGAAGGGCAACATCCATCATCAGCTGTAATGCAGAGGCATTTTCCTCCACACCAGTTTTTCTCCTTGGATTAGGCCTTGTGCATTTACCAATCTAAATCAATCAAACATAAATTCTGTGGGAAAAGCTCTTGTTTTTTCCACAGGTGTCCTCTGCACTAGAATGTTTGGTCTTTGACCCTTGACTCAACCACTGTTTCACAACTAGTTTTCTGAAGTCATTAAGAGACTAACAGATCTGTGTAAGGGGTACAGCAGAATTGATCTGATCCTCATAGCATCTTCTTTTGTCTTGTTGCAGATTTTACCATCACGTTTCCAGGGTACGTACCTTCAACTAAGTCACTTTCTGAGAAACAAACTTCCTGGCTTTAACATTTAGAAACCTTAGTCTGGGTTTCTATATTTGCTCTCACCAGACCTTAATATTGGGGGTTTGGTGAGAGCAAATGATTTTGCAAGTGTATAACTATGACCAGTGGGGCTGTAGAAATGTGTGTGAACCCAGAGGACCAACCAGGAGATTTTGTGTGAGCCAGTGTGTCTTCACCTGGAGTAGGAGAAGTGAGTGCAGCTCTCACTGACATATCCTGATGTTGGTGGTTCTAAAGAGTGGATTCTGGAGAATCTCAGCAGGGAAGAGGATGCCTTTCCAGGCAGGCAACAAGACTTCAGGTGGGATCTGACAAAACAGCATTTCCAGGAACTTTAGGTTATACCTGTTGCTTGGGAGGCTGAGGAGGGTGTAGAAAGAGAAAATGAAAAAGTAAATATAAGCAGAGTTTATTCTTTTCAGAGTTTAACGTCAACATGGTTAGAAGTACTATGTTTATGGACTATTGAGTATCCCGTGTTTTTGATCACCTCTTCTTTATTATTTAAAGATGATCTTTCTGAGAACACCTGCTCTTTTCTGCCCCAGCCACTGCAAAATGTCAGAGCTTTTGGTTTGGGACACAGTTCTGTCACAGGCAGTTACTTAATCCTGGAGACAGTATTCTTTCACGGTCTGCCCAGATGCATAGGAGAAATGGATCCTTACCTTATGAACTGTTAGGTTTCATGGCAGCACATTCATTTGTCTGTCCTTGCTGTTTACCTCTGGTATGTCTTGATAGACATCTCCCTAGGCACGGAGGACAGAATGAAAAATTACTCTGGGCTCACTATAAAAGCTCCAGTGTCTTGGAAATGAAGGGAAAAGCACAACCTTGAGCACACTGTCGGCATTCCATTTCTTCATTTGAATGAGAATGTGCAGTTTTACCATCAGTTGTGGAAGAGGCTTTCCTTTCCCCGTTGTGTATTCTTGGCACTTCTGTTGAAGATCAGCTGACTCTGTGTGTGCATTTAATTCTGAGCTCTCTATTCTATATCTGTGATACTTACGGGTGCCCCCACGCTAGAAGCATGCTGTCTGAATTTCTCTGTTTTTTGTAGATTTCAATCTCATGAATGTGCGTCTTCCAACACTATTCTTTTTCAATGTTACCATGGTTATTTGAGGCACATAAAAATCCATTAAAGTCTTAGGATTATCTTTCCCATTTCTGCACAGATGGCTGTTACCAGTTTGATAGTAATTGTTGTGAGTCTGTAGATGATTTGTGTAGTATTGTGTGTTAGTCAGGTTTGGTCTTCCTATCCATGAATATGAGATGCCTTTCAACTTATTTGTACCTTCTTTACTTTCTAGAATCTTTATGTTGACAGCTAATAAGTTAGGTTTAACATGACTGACATAAATTTGTGATTTATTGTTCATTATTATTATTTTTTTGAGACAGAGTCTCACTCTGTCACCACATTGGGGTGCAGTAACATGCTGTCCGCTCACTGCAACCTGTGGCCCCGGGTTCAAGTGATTCTCTTGCCTTAGCCTGCTCAGTAGCTGGGACTATAGGGATGAGGCACCATGCCCAGCTAATTTTTAAATTTTTATTAGAGACATGGTTTTATAATGTTGGCCAGGGTTGTCTCGATCTCCTGACTTAGTGATCTGCCCACCTCGGCCTCCCAAAGTGCTGGCATTATAGGCATGAGCGTCCACACCTGGCCAAATTTGTGATTTTTTTATACCAATATTTTGTAAGTCTGAATAGGGATCAAATAAAAAAATTTTATGTAAGCTAGTTAATGGAAAAATCACACCTGTACTCATGGACATTTTTTCATGAATGTGTACATTTCTATTGTTATACATTTTCCTCATTTCAGTAGATAATGTATATTTGAACCTGGAAGCTTATCCTCATGGCAGAAAGTGTTCGGAGTCACGTTTCTCAGCTTCACTGGTGTACGTACAGCAGGGTCTGTGAGTTTATCCTGTTTGAATGAAGCCTGATCCTTAAGGAATCCCCTCAGGGAGAGTGACACAGGAGCTGCTGAAGCCCCGATCACAGGGGCCCTTTCGGGTGTGTGCACACACCATGGTTCCAGAAGAAGACTTACAAAGAGGAAATCATGACTGTTTTTAATTGTAACATTTTAATACTTAATTTTAAAAATGTTCTCTATGAAAAAGAATGTGTGGTTAATACAATAGAGTAATTTGGGTGAAATTGAGTCCATTTTACTAATAAAATAGGCTTTTAATCAAGTAATAAATCCTTTAAAACAGATGCTAAATGTAGTACCAGCGTAATTGGATCCTACTGTACTGACAGGGTCTTGAATACATTAAGAAAATGCTGTTTGTTTCGAAGAGTTTCAAAACATTTGAGAGGGAGGAAGGCACTCTTCCATTGACCCTTAGTGTGTGCTTTAGTTCCATTTCGGGTTGACTCTTTTGTGTTGCTGCATGATGACTCTAGTACAAGGCCAAGGCCTCCATGTCTCATGTCTTTCCTGATCCCCTCATCTACCATCCCTCTTCCACTCAGGGGAATAGCCCAGCATCAACTCAGTCCATGCTTGTTAATCAACCACCTCCATACACCACATCCAGCAAAGCTCCCTGTGTAACTCAGTCACAAACCACCAGTGCACGAATCTTTCCTCTATGTCCTTCCAGCTTCTCCTGAGGACAACCTGAGTTTTGTGAGCCTATCACGAAATGAAGATTATGATGATGATGATGATGATGATGATGATGATGATGCCCAGGTAAGACCACCTTTGTCATCTAAGGAAATGTTGGTTTTCTGATGTGAGAAATAAACTCACCAGTCCAAACCCAAAGAATAGACTCAGGGAGCTGAAAAACAGCAAAAGTGAGATTTTTCCTTTCCTTTTCCTTTTCCTTTCCTTTCCTTCCTTTTCCTTTCTTCTCTCTCTCTCTCTCTCTTTCTTGCTTGCTTGCTTTCTCCTTTTCTTTCTTCTCACTCAGTTAGCCAAGCTGGAGTGCAGTGGTGCAATCTTGGCTCACTGCAACCTCCATCTCCTGGCCTCAATCAATTCTCCTGCCTCAGCTTCCCGAGTAGCTGGGATTACAGGCATGTGTCTCCATGCCCAGCTAATTTTTGTATTCTTAGCAGAGACAAAGTTTCACCATGTTGGCCAGGGTGGTCTCAAACGCCTGACCTCAGGTAATACATGCACCTCGGCCCCCTGAAGTGCTGGGATTATAGGTGTGAGCCACCCTGCCTGGCCGAAAGTGAGATTTTCAATGACAGTGTTGCAAGAGCTGGTGTCTGATGGGCAGACACACCCAGCACGGTTTCCACAAGCAATTTATCCCCTAGTGTGCAGGTCCCTCCCCTGGTTCCTCATAGGCTGAGTACTGTGGGGTCAGTCTTCCCAGGTGTTGCCTATTGATAGTTGGGGAGGGGCTTTAGGTATTTTTCTAGGGTTGTCTTACTGCATTTTGTTGAAGCCCACAATGCATTGCCAACCTAGTCAGCTCAGGGTCTCTTCAAGTATTTGACTTATGACCTAAGTAGCTGGGCAGGCTGATAAGAACAGACAAAATGAGCTATTTTTCAGCCTAGTAAACCTTCATCTTAGACTAAACTTCTTTGGTTGAAGTGAGGGTAACTAAGTGGGGAGGAGAGGGGGGCACCAAACAAGCAGGCATTGCCCATCCAAGCAGGAGCCTGGCATATCCTATTTCTTCTGTACTTTGCTGACCTCAACTGGTTCAATGTACTTTGTGTTAAAAATAGATCACTGTATACATATTTCCTTCACCTGATTTCTTTCCTTCTCAATTAATTTTGATATAAAAATGTGACAAGGCACATTATGTACAACATACACAATTCTCTTTGTGAGGATGGATGTCAGTGGGAGTTTCTTTTTCATCTAATACATGACACACTAGGATGGTTTTGAAGGACAGCATCCATCATCAGCTGTAATGCAGAGGCATTTTCCTCCACACCAGTTTTTCTCCTTGGATTAGACCTTGTGCATTTACCAATCTAAATCAACATCAAACATAAATTCTGTGGGAAAAGCTCTTGTCTTTTCCACATGTATCCTCTCAGCTAGAATGTTTTGTTTTTGACTTGACTCAACAACTGTTTCACAACTAGTTTTCTGAAGTCATCAAGAGACTAACAGGTCTGTGTAAAGGGGTGCAGCAGAATTGATCTGATCCTCATAGCATCTTCTTTTGTCTTGTTGCAGATTTTACCATCACGTGTCCGGGGTACGTACCTTCAACTAACTCACTTTCTGAGAAACAAATTTGATGGCTTTAGCATATAGAAACCTTAATCTGGGTTCCTGTTTAAAAAATTGGGGGTGTGGTGAGAGCAAATGATTTTGCAAGTGTATAGGTATGAGCAGAGGGGTTATAGAAATGTGTGTGAACCCAGAGGACCAACAGGAGATTTTGTGTGAGCCAGTGTGTCTTCACCTGGAGTCGGAGAAGTGAGTGCAGCTCTCACTGACTTATCCTGATGTTGGTGGTTCTAAAGAGTGGATTCTGGGCCTGGCGTGGTGGGCTCACAGCCCTGTCAATTCCAGCACTTTGGGAGGCCCCCCCGACGGTGGGCCGGCATCAGCACGAGCGTCAGGAAGATCCGAGAACCATCCTGGTAACACGGGAAAACCGCCTCCTCTACCTAAATATAACAAAAATTAGCTGGGCCGTGGGGTCAGTGGCCTACACTAGTCCCCAGCCACTTGGGAGGCTGAGGCAGGAAGAGATGGCGGAAAACAGCGGGAAAGGCGCAGAGCTTGCAGTGAGCTGAGATCGCGGCCACTGCACTCCAGCCTGGGTGGACAGGTGAGACTTCATCTCAAAACAAAAAAAGGTGGATTTCTGGAGAATCTCAGGCAGTGGAAGCAGGATGCCTTTCCAGTAGGTGCAACAAGACTTTCAGAATGGATCGTAACTAAACCAGCATTTCCAAACAACCTCAGGGTTATACCTGCTGCCTTCTCGGAGGCTGAGGAGGTTTAGAAAGAGAAAAGAGAAAAGTAAATATAAGGCTGAGTTTGCCCGCGCCGCGCGGCGTTATTTTCGAGTTCTAATGTCCATCAATGGCTGAGAAGTTACTAATGTTGATGGGCCTTTTGAAGTATCACCTACTGTTCCTCGCTCTACCTCTTTTTTATTATTTAACAGATGATCTTACTAGAAAC